CCCGTTGCAACCCCCACCCGCCCCGCTGGACAATTGTCGTTTTCTGCCTCTGGACCATCAAACCATGTGTTTACGATGTTCTGTATACGCGACTGCCGGGTGCGGCCGCAGCGAGAGGGAGAGAGCGCGAGCGAACAGAAAAGGGAGGAAAAGTGAGTTTATGGTCCATTACAAAACTTGCTGAAATGACGCGCCGGCGAGGTCTTCTTCTGGATGACCTCGGCCCATCCTCCCGGTGAGCCCGGGCCCGGGCCGCGCGCCGGGGGCAGCCACCCGAGCCACCCTCCCTCCGGCGGCTCCGGCGGCTCCGGGTGCCTGAGCCCCCGGGGTTCCGCAGCCCCCGCGGCTCTTGACCTCCGGGGGCTCTTAGCCTCCGGGCCGGCACCTCTGTGGTGGTGTGGCATAGCTCACCTCACCTCCGCGATGGACGCCCCGGCCCGGCCCGGCCCGCCCCGCCCCGCCACGCCCTGCTACTGTCCGTCCAGACTTGTGGAATGGCGTGGCGCTCTGAATACTAATTCAACCGAACACCTCGGCATGTCCAGCGCGGCGGGGCGTGGCGTGGCGGGGCGTGGCGTGGCGTGGCGGGGCGCAGCCGGCCGGCAGAAGTGTTTGTGTTGCGGGCCGCAGCTCGCCGCAGCCCGACCGCAGTGGATGAGGAGCAATACTCGCCGCGGCCGATATCACAGCCGCGGTGTTGGTTCATGGAGATCGAACCCCCTTGCGAATGCCAGGGCGCTTCCAGGCGGTTCAAGGCGGCTCCAGGGGCTTCCAGGCCGAACCGCGAGGGCGCGCCAGCCGCCGGCAGCCGTGGGAAGCGCGCCGGGCCGGTCAGGGTGGAGGGGAAGGGGAGAGAGAGAGAGTGAGAACCAGAGTGCTAATGGAGGCACGATGGACAACACAGAAATCAAATGTATAGTTGGAGGCGGTGAGAGGGAGCGAGCTCGCAATAGTGGAGGGGGGAGAGCGAGAGAGATGGGGGAGGAGGCAATAGTGGCCATACATCTGCTACCCCCTTTTCCTCCGAGTTCAAAACGGCGCGCCTCCAGCTCCGGGCGGCTCGGCGGCTCGGCGAGCGCTCAGCGACACTTGTGGTCGTCACGTGCGAGGGGAGCCCCGGAGTTCGGCGGGCAGAGGAGGGCTGGGATGGGGAGGAGGAGGAGGACGAGGCCACTACTACGTGATTCTGCTCGGGTCCTTGGCGCAGGCCATGGTCCACGGCTGGTGCCGCGCCCGGTACGCCCCAGCACGCCCCGCCCCGCCTCGCCCCGCCACGGCCGCGGCGGCACAACTGCGCGGCGACCTGGTGAAGGGGTTCCCGTAAAGCCAAACCAAAAATAAACGCACGGATAGAAAGTGAAACGGATCCCGGTGCGGGCGCTCATAGCAGCTTCAGCTTGGTCCTCATCGCGCCCAGCTTCGGGAGGGGTGGCGGCTGCTGCAGGGCCGCGCTGGCCGCGCCGTGAGAGCGCAGCGGGCGCAGCGCGGCTGCAGCGCTGGCCGCTGATGGGCGGCGGTCAGTCAAACACGGCCGCGCCCCGCCGGCCCCGCCCCGCCACAGCTCCAGTTCGCACGCCCAGTGACTCACGACATGTTGCTTTGCGGTGTGGCGAGGCTGCGCAGGTCGGTAGCGGACTCGCCTAAGCTGCGGTCAGGATGGACACTTGACCGCTGGGAAATGGCCAGCAGCAGCGCCAGCAGAGCGAGGCAAAGGGCCCGGCGCGCCTCGCCACGCCCGCAACACCCCGCCAAAGCCGCCGCCGCCGCCGCCGCCGCCTCGGCCCCGCCAGCCCGACCACAGAGAGCCGCAGCAGGATCAACGAGAACAGCAGCGCGGCGGCGGGACGTGGCGCGAACGCGAAAAAAGAAAGCCCTTGACCTTGGTCGTTGGTACTCACCCGCTCGTCCTGGCGCGGGGGCCACCCGGCGCCTCCTTGCAGGTCTCTGTCGCGGCTGCCGCGGCCGCGGGCCCCGTCCTGGAGGCGCACACGGCCGTGCGCACGATCAGGTCCCGGCACGCGCGCTGCAGCCCGCGGAGCTCCGCCTCGGCCTGGAGGATGCGCTGCGGGCAGAGACACGGGCTCGACATTCAGGGGAGGGCACTCGAAACGGAGGGAATCAAAAATAGGAAGCACTTAAGGTCCGTCGGACCGGAAGGGGATAAACGAAATCGGAAGTCAGAAATGGCAGCACACTACAGTCAATGACTGGGCTCGGCTAGCACCTGATATGAAGTTGAGATTCACAACACAGATCAACAACCAAAATTCAGACAAAGTTTATCATGTACCGTTCATTCCGAACTTGCGGTTTTGTTGTTTTCTGCGCCAGACATTTGGAGTTTCCCTATTGTACATTGTACTTTATTTTTACATTTTTAAATGAAAAGTTGGAAAGAAAATAAAATCAAAAATACGTGCTTTAGGAGCGTAAATTGCTTTGAACAGACTGTAAGACTCACCTCTCGCATGCCG